TTATTCCATTTACATATTGTTTTTTCACATCACTGCTCATATGGCCTTTCCTTTTTCTTTTTTGTTGTGGGCTTACAACTGTGAGCTATTTTAGAGATTTTTCTCCACGTTACTTTCCCTGTGATTTATCTCCTTATTGATCTTCCTCCAGTCTGTCTGAAAGCAACTGGATTTCTCCCATGTGCAAGACAACATTTTTGTACTTGGATCATTAGGTGAGTCGGCTCCTATTTGGAATTGTCATTTTTACGAGTCCCTATATTATTCTGCTCTGTGTGGAGAGTATCTGTCCTGTCCCCTGACCCCCTGAACTTTGCAGTCTCCCCCAGTGTGAGTGGGATGAGGCATGGATAGGAAGAGACATGACAGATTTCTTTTAGCTTGTTGTAATAACATATTGATATTCTACAGAAAAAAAAAAGATTGTCTAATACAATGTTCAGAACATCTATCTACCTTTCTTTTAATAATTAGATACAGATATTACAATGATACCTGGAGCATGGGCTTCACTAATATAGGTGTGGTATATAAATTTGGAGAGAATTGATGCTTAGTGATAGTTTTCATGGTCTTTTGGAGGGCTCCATGCAAGCTAACATCAGGGGTGGCTGGTGGATGCACCTGATGGGGTCACTTTCCTGGATTCATGGCATGGTGAAAGGAGATCATCTTTTCTGCCTCAAGGAAGATTTGCTGGTTTCAGGTGGTGACCCCTTTAACTCATGACAGCTTGTGCAGCATCTGCATACATGTGTCTGTGCTCATCCATTTATGTTTGTAGGACTCCAGTCCCTTAGTAAATCTGATAATTATATAGTCCTATCTCCTCAGATTACACATTTTTCAAACAGGCTACTACCTCACCTGTTTATAAGGTTATGTAGTTTTAAGACTCAATTTTTCAAAAGAGTTTTCAAGGGAAGCCTGAATTTCATGAGAATAACTTGAAAATTCATGTTGTCAGCAGGATTTATCTCATATTATTCTTTTAGGATATTATGTGAAAGGTTTTGCTCATTGATTGATCCTACACCTTTGAAATATTATCTGGACATATTTTGTAACTTAAATGTAATAGATGTGTAAAGAATGGGTGTGTATTGTTTACAAATAAATGGAAGGTTAAGAAGACCACTTGCTGCTGTGTGATTAAAGACAGTCTATGACTTCATGACAGCCTGTGATTTGTAAAACTCAGAATGGGATGATAATGTGAGTATTTTTGATGTCTCTACTTGGTATATCTGAGGTATGAAGCTTAATTATCTGAGTGTGTAAATAGATAAATTTACTTGATTAATATATTAGAAACCAAAATTTTTCTAATTGTTATTATCTATTTTAAAAATCAAAATTTTCAAATTGTTGAGACCTAGTGTCCACCCACCTCGGAAGTTTTACTTGCAGCCACATCTGTGGTACCTGAACAGTGCAGCTTTCCCTCAGTAATTGAAGAACTGCATTTCTGTGTGGCGGTGAAAACAATTTGGACCACATGTTTAGTTTCAGAAGACAAATCTGTGCTAATACATGACAGGAACTTATTTTCCCATGTTCTCTCCCTCATCTTATGAATGAATAAAGGCTTCAGTTAAAGCAAACAGCTGCATGGTGCAGAACATTATTCAACATGGTGAGCACCCCCAAGTTTTGTAGTGTGTGGTTTGGATTTGAGGTGTCATTCAATAGCTCATGTGTGATACAAGGCAAGAAAATTTAGAAAAAAAAGTAATTGGGTTATGAGAGCCTAAATCCAATCAGTGCATCCACTTTGAATACCTTTATGGGATTAGTTGAGTGTAAACTGAGGATGGTGAGGTGTGGCTGAAGGAAGGGGCTCATGATTGGGTGTGTATATTTTGTATCTGGCAAATGAAGTCTCTCTTTGCTTCCTGATCATTTTGTGAGCCACTTCTTTCTGCCACACTCTTCCACCATAATCTCCTGTCTCATTTCAGGCTTTTAAAAATGGAGCTGCCCATCTGTGAACTGAGACCTCTAAAACCCCCTCAAAACCCCATGAGCCCCCAAATAATCTTCTCTAAAATTGTTCTTGGCAGGTCTTTTAGTCACAGTAGAACAAAGCTCACTAAATGACTAATATAACGTTTACACTAGATTTTCATAACTCTGCAGAGACATTGTTTCTTGCTTTTGGAAGATTTGAAAGCTTGGACTCCCATGGGAAACCACTAACTAAATCCTTAGAAAAGAATCATCACAGTCCATTAAAATATGTCTGTGTTTACCACTATGATTGCATATGCCTCTGACCTGCTGAAAAAAAGCCTACAATGTGTTTCTGATAATAATTAATAACTACAGACTAGGTTTTTCTGTTTTGAGTTTCTAAAATATTTAAGACTTAGAGTTACTTATGATGATTCCAAGAAATGACTTTTTAATTTGCATGTGTCCAACATTTAGGGATTATTAAAAGTTTGCTACTTTCATATTAATTTTTCTTTGATTTTTGAAGCTATAACAGAGCTGGAAATATTTTAAAACTCTCAAGTCATATATGGAGGACTATCTGATAATAACAATAATGGGTGGTATTAGTATCCTGGGCATTATTGGATATTTGATACAGTCACACAGACAATAGCTACAAGAAGCAATTTTTATGATTACCCGTATTTTCAAATAATATTAATGGTCCAGATGTGTTTGTTGACCTCTCACGTCCTAAACTTAATGGCATCAGATCATTTACGTAAAGTCACAGTTTGTGACTTCAGATGCTCCCTAGACACATTTGTGTTCTACCAAAAAATCATATTCTAGCCATTAACCAGAACAAAGAAGACCCTCACATAATACAAGTGTTTGCATGGCTACCCTCTTGGGAGCCATTGCCCAAGAGGATCTTATTTCCAGGCTGATATAATTGTTTTTTAAGAGAGAGAGAGAGAGAGAGAGAGAGAGAGAGAGAGAGAGAGAGAGAGAGAGAATTTTAATATTTATTTAGTTATATATTTATTTTTAGTTTTCAGCGGACACAACATCTTTGTTTTGTATGTGGTTCTGAGAATCAAACTCGGGCCACACACATGCCAGGTGAGTGCGTTACCACTTGTGCCACATCCCCAGCCCCCTCGCTGATACAATTTTGTCACTCAATTTCAATCCCATATTTAGAGCTATTACTTTGAACTGAAGGCTTTATCAGGTTTGTAGAGAGGAAGAGGCATTCTTCTTACATTTGAAAAGTCTAACATGGTGGTGTGGAGATGCTGTGGGGTCTGGCAGTTTGTGTGTGTCCATCCAGCTGTGAGTCTTTCCTGGAGGGCAGGGAAGAGAGAGTTCTGAAGCCTCAGGAGGATGTGGGTTTGACTTGGGTTCTGCAGGGAGAAAGAATGCCTGAGGAAGAACCCACACATTTTGCTGATGACCTTAGTGTAGGAAGGCTTGATGAGGATGGCGATACTCATGGTAAAATTTTTCTCTCAGATTCTCACCAAATGCTCCTTCTTCATGAGGATGAATGGGAACAGTGAAGCTCCCAGCTTTCCTCACCTGAGCACCATGTTTTTCTGTGAAATCAGTGTTGGGATCATAGCCAACACTGCTCTGCTTCTCTCCCACATCCCCACATTTTCTGTCAAGCACAGGCCCAAGCCCACTGACCTGACCATTGGTCACTTTGCTCTTGTCCACCTAGTGATGCTGCTGACCATGGGGTTCATAACTGCAGACACTTTGGGTTCTCGAGGTTTAAGGGATGACATAATATGTAAGTCAGTGATTTACTTGTACAGGCTGATGAGGGGCCTGTCCTTTTGTACCACCTGCCTGCTGAGTGTCCTCCAGGCTGTCACCCTCTGCCTCAGAAGCTGCAGCTTGACAAAGTTGAAGTGTAACTCCTCACCTCAGAGCCTCTGCTGCTTTTCCTTCTTGTGGGTCTTTAATATACTCATCAGTGGTCGCTTCTTGATCTCTATTGTTGCCACCCCAATGTCACCACACACAGTCTCATGTTTGTTACTAAGTTCTGCTCTCTTTTGTCTACAAATTACTGGTTCAGGTGTATGTATTTCTCCCTTGTGACCTTCCAGGATGTCTTCCTTATAGGACTCATGGCCCTCTACAGTGGGTACATCATGACCCTCTTGTGCAGGCATAAGAGGCCGTGCCAGCACCTTCACAATACCAGCCTGTCTCCAAAAGCATCCCCAGAACAGAGGGCCATCAGGATCATCCTGCTGCTCATGGGTCTCTTTGTGGTCATGTACTCTGGAGACTTTGCTGTCTCCCCCTCTTCTGCAATGTCATGGAACAATGATCAAGTTGGTTGTTGTGTCCAGATGCTGGTGGGCAATGGCTATGGCACACTGAGTCTTTTGGTGTTAATTAGCACCAAGAAACAAATGATGAGGTTCTTAACATCCCTGTGGGGTAAGGATGGCAAATGCTTATTTATTCAGTAGTGAATTTTTTCTTTTAATATAAATAAATATTTTCACTTTCTGTTAATTCACTGAAATTATGAAGTTCTCATATGTCTTTTATGCATGTATTTTGTATATTGAACATCCCCAAGAGCATATTTAAATAGATACATGTCTTGCATTTTCTTTAGTTTCTCAGCAACCTGTCCCACTACCCTAGCATAACTAGGATGTGGACCTGTCCTGGGGACAGCTCAAGAGGTCAAGAAGAGCAGGGAAAATGCACTGGAATGATTCACCAAAAATATTTGGAGAATTATTGTGATTATACTTTTACATGTTTTATATATTTGTTAATTTGTATGTCATAGTAGGCACAGTTTCTTTGAGTTGTACCTCAAGAAAAATATTCAAAACAAATTGAAATGAAGAGATCCTAAT